AAAAAAAAAAAAAAAAAAAAAAAAAAAAAAAAAAAAAAAAAAAAAAAAAAAACAAAGAGTCATCTCATCTTGAAAATAAGGTATGTGGGAATTAATAAATTTCACAAAATACACATAAAAATGTAACAAACAATCAAATCAAATCAATCAGCCTAATCCAACTTCCTAGATCAAGGAAGTTTTCAGAAGATTTTATACAGCCCTAGTACAGTTACTGATGTTTTAATTTCATAGCTATATTAATTACTGNCCAAAAAAAAAAAAAAAAAAAAAAAAGCAGTACTGAAAATGTCACCTGTAAGGGTTATGTATGTAGCAGCTCAGCTCACAGAAGAGAAGTCCTGGTGTTTTTCCAGCTAAATGATCTACTTTTCTGTGGGGGTGTTGTAATGAAGCTGAGACCAAAGTTCCCCTTCAGAGACTGTCCTTGCTCAGCAAACTTGACAAGCTTGGCAACAATGGCAGCACTCTCTTGTACGTGATTCATGTTCTTCGGGTCGCTCCATAAGCGGTTGATCAGCTGCAGCCTTCGGCGTTTTGATTTCAACGCAATTCCCCACGTCTGGAACAGTCTCGTTCTCTCTTCTTCTGACAATCGTTTCTGCATTAGCTTACTCAATGTTTTTCTCTCGCGACGAAGATTCCTCACGCTGTTGTCCCAAGCAAAAAGACAATAATGAGAAAGCATTAGACAGATGACACGAGAAAGAAAGTCACTTGGGTTAATGTATTTATCTCTCTCTTCTTTGTTTAAAAAGAATAAGATACGAACTTCTCTTCAATAAAAGGAAAGGAAATAACAAAATGTTCAAAGGCAACAAACTATAGAAAGGAGCGTGAAAAAACAAAAGACAAAAGTTTGAAATGATTTGTGAACCTTTCCTGAACCAAGGATTGGAAGAATCATTTGTACTTCTGCCCATTCAAACAATTGATGGAAGTTAGTGATATTTTAACATGTTACCCAGTCGTTTCTCTGCACATTTTTACGTTCGTGATTGTTCAAGGGTGTTCTTTTAATGGTTTCCGTACCGGCGGGATTCTTAACTGTACCGTTTTGGGAGAATGTCTAATATATTCCAAAATCCATTTCGTCGTCCAGTAGCGACAACCTTTTGATTGGTTCAGGTTCAGTAGCTCTCGGTTCAGGTTCCGGAGCAAACAGACCTACAGAAAGAAGGGAATGAGGTAATCCCCCTTGACTTCAAGCCAACTTGTGCACACTTATTCTTATGAACCTATATTAAAAGTTAGATAAGTGACTACTATGGCTTGAACTCATTCTCGTCCCTTTCTGCAACTTATGAGTAGTGACAACAGTACCCTAACCTAAAATTTGATCCCCGAACTCTCTTTTGTTTCTTTTAATGAATGATAACAAACTCTTAACCCCTTTTGTTAAGATTTCTCCAAAGTTTTCAAAGAAGGTGAAAACTCTTTTGGGAGCTTTTGGAATGGTCTCACTTTTGTAGCTCTCACGATGTAAATTATTTGTCTCATTTTGTAATTATATACTTCTCAATAATTGTACTGGTTGAAAAGGTTGGTTTCTATAATTAGTTACTAACCTAAACATAATTCAACTTGTCAAGGCATGTCTTTGACTAAGAGTTAGAAGTTTGAGTCTGGCATTAGTTGTTTTTTTTTTTTTTTTTTTGTTTTTTTTTTTTAATTCTAAACATATGGTATGAAGCTAGTAATCAAAGATAAAACATGCTAGAACGAGGACTAACCTTGAGACAAAAGTGAGTTTCCGGCCATCTTCAATAGCTTCATTACCGTAATAAAATGTTTGCTTCAGAAAAGACAGTCTCCTAAGCTCTACTTCCATGTAAATGGAATCGGCCGGATCACCTTTGAACAGCATGAAAAAGTATGTTCTGTGGACAATCGAGACGTTGCAAGTCTGCCAAAGCTCAATTATCGTCCTCTGCAGCCTCTGAAATTCTTGGCTCCAATCCGATGAGAATAATGCATCCTGCCTTGTCTCCCCTCTAGCACCTTTTGTGTTCCTTAAGAAATCCGTTTCTTGCCCGTCCTCTAGAACCTAGTAAGCACACACTTCTAATTATCAGGAGAAATGAAAATATTTAGACCTGAATACTGATTCGTAAATTGATCAATTGGTATCAATGTCATCAAGCAAATTGTGAGATTAACGCAAGAGGAATAGCCCAATCAATGCGTTGATCTAAAAAGTGGCTGGGGATAATATTTGCTTTAGCTGCAAACTAGCAATCACATGCACATTATTGTTGCAACAGCAAGACGAGGTGCAGGCAAGCTGCCCTGGACACTCACAAACTGCTCCTTGGCAATAAAGATAGACTTGAAGGAGACCCATAATCAAGCTAAGAAAGAAGGGATATCAAGTTGGCTTATGTCATAAATCACAGCATTAACATGCGCCAAGATATAAATCACCCAAGTTTTAAAGCACATACCATATGATTGCCCATCCGCATGAGATTATGGAAACTTGGATTATTTTGGAACCTATGCAATCAATTTCAAGAAAAGGAAATTAGTACATCCCTACCTGTCTATCAGCAAGTTCTTTCCCATACTCTGAGTTGGTCATTTTCTTCAGTCCGGCCACAAAGGTGTCTAGACGAGTAATGTCATCATCTGCAGAAGTTTTTGTGCTTCGAGCACTTCCTATAGAAGACTGAGAATCAAGTCTCAAGAGGCTGCCATCAAAGTCTAATTGTGGGAGTTTCCGTTCAAAACCTTCAGGCCTTCCAGGAAAGCTTTTCTCAAATCCATGTGGAGGGGTGGTCTCCGCTTTATCAGGTGGTAACTCCGTCGTGAGATTTTCTCTACGTCTCCAACTTCTGGAGCTTGACATATCGGCAGCAACCTGTGAATTTGCATCGTGGCAGTAAGGACTGCTAATAGAAGTAATGGCCGTTCTTCTTACATCACGGAGTCCTTGCTCCACTTGATCATTAGTTGAATTATTCTGAATCTGACGCACTTCTCCGTTCCCATTCACAGCGGTTGATATCATTTCATGACCTACCATATTCCCATAGTTTGATCCAGACAGAGGCGTTCCTCTGAATCCACCATTATTAGGAGCATGGAGTAACAAGCCATCGTCCCTGATTGATTCCTCCGTTTCAATACATTGAACTTCTTTGCAGTCATCGGAATCTTCTACTATTGCAACAGCGGTTGTCGTTCCACTCCGACCTGAGTGAGAGTCAAGGAACCTCTTTCCATCATAATAATGATTGTTGAAAGATTTTCCACCCATATCCATATCACGAGAATCAGTCACAGCGGTTGTCATTCCACTCTGACCTGAGTGAGAGTCGAGGAACCTCTTTCCATCATAAAGATGGTTTTTGGAAGATTTTCCACCCATATCCATACCACGAGAATCAGTCACAGCGGTTGTCATTCCACTCTGACCTGAGTGAGAGTCGAGGAACCTCTTTCCATCATAATGATGGTTTTTGGAAGATTTTCCACCCATATCCATACCACGAGAATCAGTCACAGCGGTTGTCATTCCACTCCGACCTGAGTGAGAGTCAAGGAACCTCTTTCCATCACAACTCTCTCCATCATAATAATGGCTGTTGAAAGATTTTCCACCCATATCCATACCACGAGAATCAGTCACAGCGGTTGTCATTCCACTCTGACCTGAGTGAGAGTCAAGGAACCTCTTTCCATCATCACTCTCTCCATCATCATAATGGTTGTCGAAAGATTTTCCACCCATATCCGTACCACGAGAATCAGTCACACTTGAAGTTTCTGATCCTGAACCTTCATCCTCCAAGGCATCCCTTGAGTGCAATTTGGAATGACTACTTTTGATAACCTGGAAAGAAGGCAAGCAAGGTAACTGACTAATATATGTATGCAAGTAAACCACATTAGCATTTGTCAGTAAATGTTCACCTTTCTCGAGGCATCATCATGTCCAACCATACGAAGTAAATCTTCAATCCGGGACTGAGCGAGATCCCTTTGCTTAGTGAGCTCTCTATTCTCTTTTGCCAGCTGCAAGATGAAACATAATGTAATCTTCAGGCCTTCTCTCATGCAATTCTTGACACCAAACTTAATTGTAGAACAGATATAGATTCAATAAAAATGAAGTAAATAAACTATTCAGCTGTGGTCGAGTGCTAATAGAAATTTTATTTTTTTCTTGCAGTTGCCACAAAACAGATATGCAAATGATGAACAGGTTCTGCCAAACAATAGCTACATCAAATAAATGTGTCACTTATTTGAACATTTTTCTCCAATTTCCAGAAGGAAAGAAAAGGCTTCGTGAAATGTCTAGTTCCTCATTATGGCACAAATAAATTTCAGATCAAGGGAGCCAAGAAGAAATTAAAGAACTTTAAATTAATTCAATTATATATCTTGTGCACGAATTCAGGTAGAAAATACAACCTTCTCAATTTGAAGATCTTTCTTTTTAAGCAAGGCTGCATAGTCAGAACTGGACGAAACAGGGGCAGGGGTTCTCAACTCACTCTCCAATCTAGCTAACTCTTTCTGCAGATGCTTAACCAAAGCCTTATCAGACATCACCACATTGACTTGTGCTTTTGTTGTCACCTCTTTTGCACAACAAGCAAACAAGAGAGTGTTTCTAGTTTGTTCAACATGACTTCTTGCAGGGCTCAGTGTACAGACGATGGCTGTTCTAGCATTACCACCTAAGCAAGGCTGCAATATGCGCGTCAGCTTAGAGTCTCTGTAATTGATATGACCATTTCTTCCTTTGCTGCACCAAATTACAGACCAATTAAAACCAATATATTCTCCAAGTTTTTGGAAAGTACAAAGAGCTTCATCTACTGTGATTTAAAAAAAAGAAAGAAAGAAAGAAGGAAAAAAAGAGAGAAAAAGAGAATGAGAGGAAGTGAGGAAGAGTGAGAGGGCAGGGCGATGAAGGCGATTGAGAATGGCAAAAGCCGCTTTTATAAAGCCTTCCTCCCTCCTTGAACTCAAAGGATTAAACCCGAACGCTACCTGGGACCCGGAAGATTCCATAGCGTAGAGCTTCAATCAATAGGCCATTTCAGTCTTATTTTCTCCTCAGCAATACCCAAAGACTCCCATCCCTTTCTTGGTTGGACCAACCCAACCGGCAATTTCCGACAAACCTTTCTTCATTTTTCGAGCAAGAAGTGGTAACATTCAGTCATCAACTAATTTGATTTTTTTACACAATATGTCATCATTTTACTCCAAATATTATCTTCCTTTCCAATCGCAAAAACGTTCATAATGGCTAAAGTAAATTTTTCCATAAATGTGTCTTTCCGAGATGCAATTCCCATTCAAAATCAGACTAAAATTTTATACGTAAAATTTTTAAACCACCATCTTGTGGGAATATCAACTAGACAACTACATAGATTAGTGAAACATCAGGAAACCCTTACTAAGCAAAAACTGCTGGGGAGCGTTATTGAACTATCAGATACAGATACAAGTCACACAACACGGTAGACCAGAATGATAAATCTTAAGCTTGTGTAAGTAGGATACAAGCAAAGCCAAAAAATATACCAATGCAAAAATGATTGTAGACACTGGTGAAAATCTATATTTATTCTTGACTCATCAGAGAATATGCATGACACACCATCAGTGGCAAGTTCGCAAAAAATAATCGTTCTCTCAAATCTAAAGGGGAAAAGAGAAACCGATAAGCTCTGGCAGAAGAACTAAGCCCACAGTGACAAAGCAGAATAGTTTCCAACAGAGCTTGAATAGTAAAAAAGTCAACAACGTAGAGGAAGGAAAGAGGACTTTAAGTACCTTAATTTGCGAATAACAGTACCCAGAGTGAGTAAACTGCGATTTATGTGGCAACCTTCTTTCAATCTTGCTCCTGCTGATAATGCTTGAGCTGCACGTTCACTCCCAGCTAAATCGATAAAATTCTGCCAGAAAGGACAGGAGCGTGAAAAGGAGTTGAAGACTATTTGTTTCTCTCACATTGGAGGAAACGTAGTCAGTATATTAGTTATATGGCTATTTACACACAATATAGAGTTAGATGGTCGTAGGTACCACACTAGCAGCAAGGGTGGTTGAATTGTCTTTTCCTAAAAACTCTCGAGCAGAACTTTCAATTGTCTGCAGGAATCAACAAATAAGGAGTTTGAAATAATTTTATCCCTGAGATGAAAATTGAATCCTTCAATCAGATTGATCAAGTGATTAATTAAGAAGAGACGTGAAGCACACCAGTTTAATAATCTGATGAGATCTAGAGCTTTTCTCATTCAGTGAGGTCTCTCCAATTCGCCGTTGAGCTGCACATTATAACAAGATTTCATTCAGATATGAGATAAACAGACTGGCAAGATTTTTCAAAATGCTTCACCTTCACACACTGAAAGGAGCTCCTTTAAATGGTTCCAGTCCCTCAGAGTTTCCTCAGTGACTTTCTCCACAATAGTTCCTCGCTATTGATAATCAAAAACTGTGAGAAATGCCAAAATAGGAAAATAATAGAAGTTTTTTTCTTATAGATATAAAAAACAATATATCCACCTCATGGTCATCTAGCAGCCTGAGAGGAGTAGAATCTGTGCTCAGGAGGTCTCTAACAGCTTCATTGTATATTTCAATTGCTGAAAATTTCACAACGAATGCTCTTTCTTCATGCTGAAATTTATTTTTGAGGAAAAGAAAACAAACAAAGACAATAAGAATAGAGCTTGCTTATGGTAAAGGTAAAGAGCGTCGTACAATCACCACAATTAACTCACCTTTCTAATGTAATCAAATATATCTGCCACTGAATATTCAATAATTCCATCCATGGTGTATGTCTTTCCACTGCTTGTTTGACCATATGCAAAAATACTCGCTGGAAATTTGAAAGCATATAATTGGAGTAAGGTCTTCACTTATTCATTAGAAACCTTGGCATGTTAGATAGCAAACTGCAACAAAATTATGTGCTTACAGTTGATACCACTGACTACAGAAAATGCAATTTCTCTGGCTCCTTCCTCGTACACCTGCTTGGTAGAGCACTCGCCTCGAAATACTCTATCTGTCACCAAAAAAGGATGAGCAGAAATGAAATAAACCTCTACAACAAAACCATTAAAGCCAAAAGTTATGCCCATATCAATGCCATCCTTAAATACCGTAATGTACAGGAATAGAAATCATTTGAAAGATGGACTTAATTTACAAAGCCACAGTCGGGTAAAACGTAATAATCACTAATACAATGTCTCATATAACAAACAACATGTATATATAATATTATCAAATGATGAAGCGAAATCCTTCAAGCTTAAATAAATGAAACTATCAAAGTGTTCAATAAAAATCTGTAAAAGAAAGATTGTGCCTGATTCTTGAATGTTATCCCAAAAAGTTACATGTTTTCATATGTTTTACAAATGATTTTAATTTTGTTTTGTTTTGTTTTGTTTTGTTTTGTTTTTCTTTTTCTTTTTGATATCCCTGAGTATCCGCACCAGCTTGTGCACACCTCGACTCGACTAATCTCATAGGACAACCGCCTAAGCCCACTATATTTGGTTGCCAAGGTAACTTATAAAATATTAAGTCCTAGATAGGTAGCCACCTTGGCTTGAACTCATTTCCTCTAAAATCCTTTGATCGGTCATTCTTGACCAATAGACTAACTAATGGTGGTTTTACAAAGGATATTAAAAAGCGAGAGAGATAATAATTTCTTACCAAAAGTATAGGCACTCGGAAATGTGGACCCCTCCCGTAGGGTATTCCGGTACAAGATACTAGTATCATTGATGCACTCCCAATCTGCTACTTCATTCGTCATAATCTCCTTCTCATTCAAAGGTCTCAATCTTACTAAAACAAGGATTTTCTCTTCACGAGCATTTATCCCCTGCATTTTCTCCAACTTCATTAGCTCCTCTCCAGCAACAGACCCCATTTCTCAATGTCGCCAATCCTTCTCCCAGCCAACCAGGCCACCACCTCGATTTAGTCTATATCAATCCATAATTGTAGTTCTCTCGAAGATGAAAACAAGCATAGGTGCTCGAGTCATTGTGCTCATGCTTGGCATGTTTTCAGAACTGTTGAGATATATAAATAAATCAGTTTCCTGAACAAGAAAAAGAAAGCTTATAGCCCCTTAATGACTGAGATTACCTGCATAAAATATCGATATTCACTAAATAATACTATTTTGCTAAACAAATGCTAATTACTTAGTGTCGTAACCATTCAGCAAGCCATGACTTCTGATCTGACCAACCCCCCCAGCCAACCAACAGTAGAAAGAATATTAATAACTGCAACTACAAGCTAATCATGGGTATTTACCCGCCATCCGCAAAATGATAAAAGTGAGAAAGTAGATCGACGACAATTGCCATATTATGGTTAAACCTTCGGCAATCTAGCTTAACCTTCAGTTCTACGCATCTCTTTACACCCCCGTTTTTTTTTTTTCTTTGTAGGGATGTTTCCCATAAAAAATTATAAATGTCATTTAAGACAGAAACCTTCCCCGTAGTGGAGACCCACAAAGATTACGGACAAATTCCAGGAATTTGAAAATGGTAAGCATTGTCATCCAACCATCAGCATTCAGAACATTATTTTCTTTGTGTTTTCATTATCGCTCTTTACGATGAGGTGCGTTTAGATGTTACTGGTACTTGGAATTTTGAAATTAAAATATAGAAGACGCGGAACAAAAAGAAAAACGTACTGTCGAATCGTCTGTCCTTTCAAAAAACTGTCGCCCAAAATGATGCCATTCGGTTCAGCGGCGCGTTTCAGCAATCGAACGTAATGGCCTACTTGCTCGAGAAATGGATGCGATCCTCCAGACACCGTCGTTTTTTAAATTCCCCTTTTCCTTTCTTCTTTTCTCTGCGGCCTCGGTCTGATCCGAAGCCTCTGCTACTCTGCTGCGCTTTTCGTCGTCTTCAAGTCTCGTGTACTTTAAGAAAACACCCAGAATCTATTAAATAATCGTTCCAAAACTGAAAAAATCCGCACAATGTGCGTATCAGAATGCAAGCATCGGTTAGGAAGTTTTACGCAACGGCGTTCTTATACAATTTTAACGGTTAGCTCGTCTTCAACAAATCTCCAGTTAAGTAAGAATATTAAAATCTTATCTCCAAAATAATTACACTCTGGAACTCATCGTTTTACTTCGACACAAAGCAAACTTCGAATGCAGCAATTTCCAACGAAAACCTCACAAGAATCAAATTATGAGCAGCCACTGGACAATTAAACCGTCGAGAAAGAAACAATACCCCGCGGATTCCTCCGAGATGAAGATCAGCTAAGCAACAATAATCCAAGGATTCCTCCGAGTTGGAAAAAAATCAGCTACGCAGAAATGATTACATAAACTACAATTAGAGAGAATGAATCAAGGCGCAGCTCCAGAGTAAATTAGCGAAGACGAGGAGGCTTTACGAGTGGAATAAAGCGTCCGCGTGCCAATTAGAGAGAGAAGGCTTAAAAAAAAACAAAAAAGCAAAAAAGCAAGCAGGTGAAAGTGAATGTACCGGACATAGAAAGGTGGAAATCAATGGAGAAGAACGGAAGTAGATGAAACAGTAACACAACACCGGCGAATCAGCACCGACCGCAGCCGTATGACGTGAAAAAAGAAGAAGCAGAATGCGGTGGCTGCAGCGGCGCGGATTCAGCACCGGTCGCCGGCAGTCTTAGTCTCGAGGAGGAGAGAAATTTGTGATGAACCAAGCCGGTGGAAGCAAATGAGAACCCGATGGGAACGTCAACAAAGTTGAAATTTCTCCTCCAACCGAACCTCTCTCCACCGGGAAAGAAAAAAAAAAAAAAAAAA